GAAAATGAACTAAATATTACTAACTACTAACAAATTATTACTTGGAATATATGAGGATCGTTTTTACCTGGATAATTAATTAGACCTTTTGATTTTCATTATTTATTATTTAAATGTAACTTATTATGTATATATTTTCAACGTCAGTTATTCAAATTCAAAATAAAGAAATACTGTGACATTAGGTTTCCACTGATGACATATTTTTGGTAATATTTGAGTAGCCAACTGTTTCCTTATCTAGTAATTTGTGGTTTGATGCAAACTCAAGTTAGTGACTCATTTATACACATTTCTGAATATCAGAATTGAGAATGACATGAGGGCACCCTAAGTTGAGTGAAGCATAAGTTTGAGATGAGTGAAAGGTTAGTATAGATTTAGGGAAGTCTCTGAATTTGGCCCTAAGTAATATACTAAAAACCATATCTAATTGCAAGTGGAACATCTTAATTGGCAACAGTGTATCGTCGTCGTCGTTAGAACTTCGCGGTGTTTAAAATTTCTCCTAAATTGAGAATTATATCGAATTTCATCTGCGATCATAATATTCAAGTTATTTGAAATAAATATTACATGAAAAAAAGTCGTACCGTTATCAGGGATCGTACCCACTACCTTCGGTGTGGAAGGACAATGCGCAGCGCTTTACACCACGGAGGTGACAATTACTGTTTGTTAATATTTTCACTTATATGCTTAATATTTCAATACAGAAAAAAAAGTTGATAGATCATTTTTATGTAAAATTTTATGTTCTATAATTTTTATAAGAAACTTTTTTTTCTAGGTGTTGAAAAAAATTATTGCCACTTACTGTTATTATATACCTCAAACTAATTTATATTAAAAATTCAGGCAAGTTAACCAAAATTGCGATTTAAAGGTACATTTAATTGGAATAAACAGTTAATTATTAATATGACCTTTGCACTTTTGACCAAATAACGATCGAGTACGATTATAGTGTTTCATGACTATATAAAAATATTCATGAAGGAAATACTTTATTTTACTATTTGATGTTTATTCTCAATGAGGCCAGTCAAATTGTCGAAAATACCAAATTTTTTTTTGTCAAAATTTAGTTCAGTAAACAAAGACACGTAAATATTAGAAAAAAATCCGTGGAATTGAATGAACTACTCTACCCCAGCTGAATATTAGGTCTTCATTTTCAAAATGGCGTCCAAAGGTTGCAAAAACGCACTTTTTATAACAAAAATTTTGAGCCCAGACCGATGTCAAATATGTATTAGTTATTGAAAAAAAACCGCTAAAAATCGCATTTTTTAAAAACTTCTATATCCTTAAAATGAAAATAGATTTTTTACGAAACTTTCAGATAGGGACTTGTAAGTAGAATAAGCGAATTTTTGTAAAATTTCAAAATATTTGATAGGTTTTGCAAAAATTGGGTTTGAGAATTTGTACGTAAATAATGTAAGTTCTTTTTTATGAAAGTGGCTTAATCGGTTACTCACTTGACAAGAAAAAATGACCAAACTTGTAATAATTTAGAGGTTACGTGTTTAAGTCTTCTGTATACGAAATAAAGAAAATATCCATATTGCAAAATGGTGACTTAAGAATACACTCCCAAGGAATTAATTGGCAGAGGTTCTATTAAGAACAAAGCTGTCTGAAGTAGTAGGGATTAGTAAAACAGTTTTACACAAGACGGTAAGATTAAAAATTAGGTTGGCTTGCAAGCTTCTCTGGCAGTGTCAATGATTGAACAACTTCCATCGTCGTTCTAGACTTCTCGACTCATTAGCATTAACGAAACTGAGTTTCATAGTTTCTTCTGATGAAGAGAGCGAAGTGCCTTAAAAATGGCCTAAATTATTTTAAAACCTACAGTTTTCTTTTAGGTATATTTTAGCAATTAGTATACTGTGTACATTATAATTGTATTTTTTTATCTAATTGTTCCTGCAATTTTTGATATCGAAGAATATTATTTTCATTTTATAAGATTTACTCGTTTAATACCTTAATAAAGACTAAAAAAATGCTAGAGCTAGTAATAAAATATATGGTTTTAAAAGTGCTTTTCTGTTAACAATAGTGCTGCTAGGTCATACGTGTCATACTAGTATTAAAAATAAAGCACTCCGGATGTTAGTATCTAACTTTATCTAAGTTGGCTGGAGTTAACGACTTCAAACAATTATGTAATGGACTAACTATTGCAATAAGAGAACACGGAATGGATGCTCACTAATTAGATTACGGCTAGCAGGCCCTTAGACAGCAATATTGACCAGCCACTGGCCACCGCCAATAATCGTTGGGGTCATTTGCTGCAGTTACAAGAGCCACTAGTTCTCTATGTAGGTAAATGCAGTTCATTCTCTGGAGCCGTTCGGCATTCAAGCGGCCTTGCATACACCCTTCTGAATGGAAGGGTTATTAAACATATATTACGCCATGAATAGCTTGTGTGCTGACTGAATTCAATAATTCATATAGGGTGCTTTAATAGAGCGCGTCGATCGCTTTTCGATTTGGTTTTGACAGTGGATCCTCAGAAATCCAAAATTTCTACGTAGTACAGTCATGAAGCTGAAAATCAGCTGTAACCTCCGAATTCTTTGAAACTGCATGGATTTGCACGAAAATTTAGAATAAGGCTCAACTTAGGCTCAAGTTCAAAGGTGACATAATCCCGTTTGACGCTTTTTGTTTTTTAGGGGTAAAAAATACCCATAAGTGAAAAAAATTGAATAAATTAAGTTTAAGCATTTTATTGATAAAAGTCTTGTTCAAACACAAAGATTAAATAATGTTCCGTGTTCTCGAACATGTTTTATGATATATTTAATTTTTTTATCCTTTATTTAACCCTTAAAAACTACCCCTATGCAAAAACTGATGACAAAAATTACTTTTTAAAGATTTGGAATGATTAAATCGTGCAATTATTTAAAATAAAATTTCCCTCATGGCTTATGAAAGAATTTGTATCTCATAACACTTTTTAACCCTTATAAATCACCCCTGTGCTAAAAAAATGATAAAAAATTACGTTTTAAATCTTGGAATGCTATAATTGTGCAATACTTTAAAATAAAAATTCCCTTATGTTGTTTATTATTTATTATTATTTGTTTAACTCTTATAAACTACCCTTTTACCAATATTAATGTAAAATATTTTTATTATAATCGATTTTTAAATATAATCAATCATAAAAAAAATTGCTACGCTGCATATAAACTTTTATACACGCTGACACGCACTTGAATCCTAACATTTTGCTCCAAAAATGAGAAAGCCTAATTTGCTCCGAAAAATATCATTGGTTTTTTTACCATAACTCGGTTAATATTAAAGGTATAGTCTCCTACAAAAAATCATTTTAAAGATAATATAAAAAGCTGTAAGATCGCTTGCATATAAAACCTTTAAGTCCTTCGTTTTTTAAAGGGAAAGGATCGAAGGGCTCGAGGCAGATTGTTTTTTCACTAAAATGGATACTTCAAGCGGCGATATCTCCTTTATTTTTTATGCTGTAGGAATAAAAAAAAGGAAAATATTTGTTGAAAAAAAAGCTACATTTTTGTTCTCTATCATTTTTTATGTATCTTTCATAGTTTCAGAGTTGTTATATAAATAAGGCAATATTTTTTGAGTAATGAAAAATACGTTTTCAACTTTTACCGTACATTATTAAAAAAATACGCATTCTAAACCGGTCTAACTTCAGAATCGTATGAAAAACACTAAAACAAAACTAATTGTAAAGGGTCTACGATTAATTTTAATTCTGATGGAAATGATACAGCGTTTCCTGCTCATTTTTCCTTAAAAAATATGAGCTACCCATCTGTTTTTGACGATAACTCCTTCAATTTTGCTCCAATTAACTTTTATAAGTGCTAATTTTGAAGGTCTTTTTGAGTACTACAAAAAACTTCTGGAGCGTTATACAAGTAAAATTAATCCCTTTTCCGTTATTCGATTCGAGTATTCCCCCCAAAACAAATCCCCTTCCACTAACCATATTTCGCTCTGTATAGGACGTACAACACTCTAAAAAAAAACGATTTTCTTTGTTTATTTATAAGTTACATTTTTGTTCATTACACTTTTTTAAATAAAATGCGTAGTTTTTGAGTTATTCGCGAAAAATACTTTGAAAAAGTATTTTTTTTCATTCAAAAGTTTTCAATCGTGAATAAATAAAAAACTATTGATATCTCGAAAAAATTCTTCGAATATTTTTTTGCTCAAAATTTGATTCTCTATCGATTTCCAGCGTTATTTTTTTTAAATTTCCACCCCCGAGAAGGGATGTCAACGCCCAACAGGGTGGAAGCGTCAATCGGCACTATGTCAATAATATTCACTATTCATTCATTGACCTTTTCTCTAACTATCTGCCAAATTTCAAGTCAATCGGTTCAGTTTCGAAGAATTCGGAGCTTCAATGACTGTACTAACATCGGTGATTATTTTTTTTGGACTAAATCCGTTGTGTGATGATGAATTTCTAGTCTAGTAAAATTATCAGTTTATAGTTTTTAATAAATGGTTCTTGATAAATTTAACGATATCTCATGTTATATGTGAGTGAAAATGCTGAAAATGACAGGGGATATTCATGAGAAAATGGGTCTCCCATTTATATTGAGACAGCAGTATTCAATGCAAAAATAATTAATTTTCTGTAAACTTTACTGAAATTGTCTATGTAATTTATCATTTACTAATTTTCGAAGTATCTGAACATATAGCAATAACTAATAACTAAATTATTGGATGCTTTTTTTTACAAATGATCGGTTATAGATCACAAAAATGTATAGTTATCAACAAGATATATTTTATTTCCTCTACATTTACACAAACTCCGATGTTTCTCCGTATTCCATCCATTTCAATTTCTAATATTCTGCCAAACGAACTCCAGCATCATATTTCCTTCTCACAGTAAACGCCACACGGACTTTTCTTGCTCCCCATGAATAATGAAACATTAATTTCGGTTGCAGGTGGCCTTTTCCATCCGGCAGACGATAAACAGGAGATTGCATTCCGATATGCAGTCGAGAAAATCAACAGCGACCGCTCGATCTTGCCTAGGTCGAAGCTCAGCGCCCAGATTGAGAAGATCCCACCGCAGGATAGCTTCCATGCGTCCAAGAAAGGTAAACATATTTATCAGAAATAAACGTTTATGTCTCGATTTATGAAATTGTAATTTTAAGTTTCTGCTACGTGAAGTACATATTACTGAATTGTAAAATAATAAAAAATATTAATGCTATGAAAAGTCCGACGTTTAAATTCCGCCAACAGGGAAGAACTATAGTACGATCGTATTCGATGCAAAGTAATAAGTCATTGCCTGTCAAGGGAATCAGTGCAACACATTTTATAGGGGGTTTTGGAAATTGAATAATTTCTTTATGCATTATGGATTAACAGTTATATATTTATGAAGGACAAAATGAAAAACAAAGGCATCTCCTTCGCACATTGGGCGGCAGGACAACAATACATTTATTACTCCCTTCATTATCCCTCATATGACTTGTGTCTTGTGTTTTTTGCGGCGGCGCGCGTGCCGGCCTGGCGTGGTCAGTTTCGTTTCGGTTGTATTGGTGCTGCGTGTTTCTCGCTCGCGATATTTGTGAGGTTATAACTGTTATAAGTGCAATTATATTTCTTTCGGGCTATATGTGTGTTTCGCGCTATTATTTGAGAATTTGTGAGTGAAATCATATTTCTTGTGCTCCGTAACAAAAGTGTTTTTAGTGTTTTATTTGTGTGCTGTGTGTGTGTTTCGGGCTGTTGTTTGTGAATCGTGAATGCTATTATATTTTCTGTGCTAGTGAAGTGAAGTTTTTTGTATTATTATTGCTCTGTTGTCGTTATATGGATAAATGGAGGCGGTGCCTGGATGTTCGCGAGCCGGATGTACTGCTGTGGGTACAAAAAAATCTATATTAAGTTACAGAGAAAAAACGATAATATTAAATGTCTATAACCCTTTAGAAAAGGATCATCCCATGAAACTGAAGACTGGTTTGGTGGAAATGTGTTCTAGATATACTGGAGTAAGCGAATTATCTGTTTTCAAAATTTTAAGAGAGAAGAAAATTGAAGGAGACGTTAAGAAACCTAAAAAAGGGGGTGCAAAGAAGAAATTAATATTAAATGAAGATGAGAAAAATGCAGTTTGGCGTACAGTACATAAATCATAGAATTTATATTTTGTTTATAATTTGTTAACATTTCTTGTTTGATAGAAAAATAACTTATTTTGTTGAGATTGGTAGAGAATTGTTGTTAGTGTTTTCATTTGATAGAATCATATCATAGGATTTATATTTTGTTTTCATTCTGTAAATATTTATAGTATATCTGTTATACAAGGTTTTTGCTTTGAAACTTCGTTCTCCTTATAAAAAAAAGAATCGTAATGGGGTGCGATGAAGAGATCAGTTCACGTCTGGAACCCTGTTCCTACAAAAATCCCTTTATTCTCATAAACTATTTGTTTTAAATGTAATTTATTATAAATCCAATTCGTTATTTAAATTCCACATATGTACTACATTTCACCTCTGTACGCGCCACTGTTTATTGTTCCCTGCTCTACGATCAAGCTCGCCAGGTTAGTATTTGACGTATAACCGACCACTTCGTACACTCGATGCACCTGGCCGACTACAGCTAGTACCAGAACACAGTGCGTATGCGGCGGTATTTCAGATTTTACATTCAATTTCATTTTAAATTTGAAACGGTTCATCTTACGCCTCCTAAAAATGATGACACGATTTTCCTTTGATAAAAGACCGACAATTTTTTGCTCTACTTTGCATCGTATACGATCGTACTATAGGGTACATAGATAGGTACTATTTTGGTTGCTCTTAAAATTGTTTTTGTAAACATTTTATTTTATTATTACAAAATGTTCAATCGAAGACATTGCATCAATAGTCTTCCGTGACGCAGATGATAACATGAAATATTACGACCTTTGCTGCAACAATATGTCATCTGAGAACTGCCACACGAACTCAATGTGTCATCATAAAAGGATTAGCATGGTGTTGTTGACGTTGGTTCGCATATGGATCGGGAACCAGTCGGGTAATTCAAGATTGATGCCCGTTGTCAGCCTGTTTCAGATCGACCTTTAAATCACATTAACCCAGATGGGTAGATTTTATAATAGGCATGTTTTGGACCCTAAGTGGGTTGCCGTTTACTTGTTGCAGGATGAGATGGATGATTAAAGGGACTGATTTACTTCTATGCAGCATTTTATATATTTTTTTAATAAATAATTGAGTTTTGTTTCTAAATACGTAAAAAATGTCAAAAACATAATGAAATTACAAAAAAAATGTGAAAAGTCAATAAAAATGTATTTTTCGGGGTCTGGTGATGACTTTCACAGACTTTTGCTTACACCATTCGAAAGAATGGAAGAAAATAAGTTGATTTAAAAGAAAGCTGTACAATCCATTTGTTTACTTGGACAATTCTTGGTCGAATCGTTCAAAAAAATTTAGCGTATAAAGAAAGTCTTCTACTTTACAACGAGCCCAAGTTTATTACAAACAGAAAGAATATCGTTTTAAAAAAAATTATCTCGGCTCTGATTGGTCGGTTCGAGACGCTTTTTTTTTAATTCATGTTTTTAAGCACTATTTCATGCAATTCGTTTGAAATCTGTATATTAAAAAACCGCCGAGATAAGGACTCTAGTTACTGTTTTTTTTTTTGATTTTTTGTTAATAACTTTTTTATTTTGCAACTTAAAAATCTGAAATTTACGCAAACGCGAAATAATATAATTGCCTTTCGATCCTTTTATGCCGAATATCGATATCTTGTCTTGGGCAGAAGATATAAGCACCCCAACAGTTACCTTTTCTGTAGTTTCATCCAATATCAGTCAAATTTGTTATTTTTATTTAATTCTGAGTTTTGCACTGCTAATTTTGCAATCTAACAAAATTTTGCGAGCTTTCGCAAAGGCCTACCCTTGTAGTAAATTTCCTTCAGAACAAAATCGGTAAGTATATATCATGTCGATTAGAGGTTTATTTTCGAATATATAAACGCGAAAAACTGAGAAAAGAGCAATTTTTTTCTTCTGTTATAAACAATGTGACGCTCGACCTCTACAAAATACACAAATTTAGGCTTTTGTTCTGTGAATTTTAAGCCCATAAAATTATATTTTGGCCCGATTTTTGAAAAAAAAACCGGATTCGCCCGGATTATTGTGACAGTAACGTTTGAACGTATGTGGAGCAACATATCTTAAAAATCACCCAGATTTATTAAAACTATCTTGTATATCGCTGCGATTGATTTACTGACAATCATCCAAGCATCTTCACCTTTATCAGTTGTCTCTCATCCCTCGATTGTATTCCCTGGAAAAATAAGTAAAATACGAGTAGAACATATTTCATTCGACCCTTTTTAAGCTTGCAAAAACAGATACTAATTTCCTTGATGGATAAGCTTCGGATATATCTCGCGCAAGTCGAGTGACACGTGCAGGAAAAAAGGGGTATCATAACACAACGGCTATAATAGAAATATCCGCAGACCGCACCACTTTAATAAATCATTGACCTTCCTGAACTTGCAGGGCGCAGCCAACTAGATTTCCTTGCAGCCTTTCCACGGTGGCTGCCAAGAAACGGCCATATCTTATGTTTTATGAGAACCTTTTTTCGATGCGTGCCGGTCTCTCTGTCTCGTGCATCCTCTAGGTTTGCCTTTGACTGCTGACGCTTTGTTGAGTAGACGTTTTTTACACGAATTATGTTTATAATGACGTCCATTTACGAGAATTTTTATTTTATTATTTTTTAATTTTTAACTCACTACTCATCATTTTAATTCTAACGACGTATATTGTTTGTAAATGCCTAGGTGTTATTAAAATGTTTATTAAATTATGAAAAATCATAAGGAAGAAATACTTATATTTTTAAATTTTCGCACCTTTCAATACCAAAATAATATTTGACAAGTAACTGTTACTGAAAAAATTATATTACGTTGGGTAACTTGATGAAAATAAAGTCGAAGTAGGTCGTATGAAAGGGCCATTGGAAAAATTTGTTCTAAATAGGTTCGTTATTCCGTCAAAGGTCGCTTTTAACTTTTCACGGGCGCTTTTGATAAATTACAGGGCCTTTAATTAACAGTGTCAATGTAGTCGCTGTAATTAATGTCCCATTAAAGTTTCAGCTGGCGATTATGTGCCTTTATGTAGTCACTTCTGCTCGAATAAAAGCCTAATCTCGATTTTATTGCCTGAATAAACTTATTTCCTTTATGTAAAGATGATTAAGAGGAATTAAAAATATCCAGAATTACTGAATTTTATTGGATTGCGAATGGAAGGAAAAAAGTCTGATATTTCACTCTTTTTATTGAACTGCAGATGTGATAAAAAAACTGCGTTTTGTTCTACAAAGCTTTCATAAATGTTTACAAGCGACATGACCGTTGACCGTAGGCAACCAACAATTCACGGTGGGTAAGATCCCTAAACCTCAGTGGAGTGGTTGAAAGGATTACATGTAATTAAATAAAATTGTTTTTAAAATTGGTTGACATGAACTATCGATATTTCAAATTTTGTTTCTGTTATAACTTAACAATAAATCGACGAAATACCAACAGTTTACACTAACATGAATTATTATTTTTTTTTAATGTTTTTATTGGTTTTTGTATTATAATACCGAGACATGAAATTTTCATTTTTAACCGAACAAGAATAGTCTATTACGTAATGTATGTAATATATACATTTGCATTACTGTGGTAGTCCAACACAAAAAAAAATTGTCGTTATGCTCTCATCTTCCCCTTATGTCTGTCTTAGATACAACAAAAGGATACATGTGCAAAATGATCACTTTTTACAGTGTATAAGAGGTGCTGCGTAAAACTGAAAACAATAACCACTAAAACTAGGCCAAAACTTGCAACTTCTCGTCTCTTGCACAGAATTTAATCATTCCCCTCCCGTCATTATTATTTGTTATTTCGCAAGTTGTTAATCCACTTTGCTGGTAACACGATTAGAAAAGTTTTCCCCAGGAAGTGAAAGTGGAAAATGCTCCCATAATAACATCCGCTCTCTCCTGAGAGTTCG